TTTAGGTGGTTCTGTAGGCATTGCGTACTTAGTGCCGGAACAATCCTGTGAATGTCTAATAGCGATGTCTTGACAAAAGTAACAATGCTTGATACAAACAAACAAAACAAAAAGTCTGGAAAGAAACTAACTCACATAGATAACTAGTTAGCTACATCATGAAAAGACAATTAACATTCTTTGGATACGCCACGCCATAAGAAGGAAAAGGGGCACTGGAGTGCATCGCGACAGCAGGAAAATCAGAGTTGAAGAGAAGCCGTGTAAAAGCGTGAGACAATGCTGGACACTTTGGCATCATGCTATGGAAGAGCATCTGTTAAAAAAAGGAAAGGACCCTTTTCCACGCCTTTAGGCGTATAGGGCATATAGGGCTAGACCTATATTTTTATAGACCAAACGGCACAAGATGGGTGATGTGGTCAACATCACGCCGGACGCCTTTACTTCCCGGGACGGCACCTGGTACCCACTCAAGGCTGGGTCGACCTGAGAGCCAAGGTAATTTTTTTTTTAAAGTCCGGCTGAGCCAGGGAGCGAACCCACGATCTAGCCGCTCCGCCACGGGTACTCGATTTGTTTTAGAAATGATTATTAGCTGACTCCTCCCTGGTTGCCCTCACGGGAAGCACATAAAAATAGTACTGCTGCACCCTACCACGCATGTCGTAAGAGGCTACTAAGGGTAGGGTTGGGCTGGAGGTTGGCTACCTCGTCCTGAAAAAAAAGCCACAAAAACCATCTAACTCTTGAAAAGTCAAAGAGTTGAGAAAGCATGAGAAAAATATCACCAGAATGTCTTTGCACTGGAACCCACAGGGGCATTAAAATAAAAGGATGACAACAAAACATGGAGAAGGGAGCTAGAGAATGAAGTTAAAAAAGATGGGAAGTGCTGCATGCGAAAGTGAAGGATAGTACGACTTGGCTTGAGTTGTTGAGAGCCTATGCTCCACTGGGAGTTAGAAAGGCAGAAGAAGAAGACACGGCTGTGGACAAATAGGACGACTGTCACCACCAGGCACAGGCTATATATTAAATTGTGTGTATACTATTATTAGTGGTGTGAGTTCACTAACAACAGTGCAACTGATAGATGAATGGCGACGCTGATGGTGCAGGCAATGGTGATGAAGATATCCACTGTAGTGATCATTATGGTGACCAAGTGTGTATATATGATCATTATGGTGACCAAGTGTGTATATATGATCATTATGGTGACCAAGTGTGTATATATGATCATTATGGTGACTACGTGTGTATATATGATCATTATGGTGACTACGTGTGTATATATGATCATTATGGTGACCAAGTGTGTATATCTGATCATTATGGTGACCAAGTGTGTATATATGATCATTATGGTGACCAAGTGTGTAAATATGATCATTATGGTGACCAAGAGTGTATATCTGATCATTATGGTGACCAAGTGTGTATATATGATCATTATGGTGACCAAGTGTGTATATATGATCATTATGGTGACCAAGTGTGTATATATGATCATTATGGTGACCAAGTGTGTATATATGATCATTATGGTGACCAAGTGTGTATATATGATCATTATGGTGACCAAGTGTTTATATATGATCATTATGGTGACCAAGTGTGTATATATGATAATTATGGTGACCAAGTGTGTATATATGATCATTATGGTGACCAAGTGTGTATATATGATCATTATCGTGACCAAGCGTGTACATATGATCCTTATGGTGACCAATTGTGTATATCTGATTATTATGGTGACTAAGTGTGTATATATGATCATTATGGTGACCAAGTGTGTATATATGATCATTATCGTGACCAAGTATGTATATATGATCATTATAGTGACCACGTGCGTATATATATCCTTATGGTGACCAATTGTGTATATATGATCATTATGGTGACAAAGTGTGTATATATGATCATCATCGTGACCAAGTGTGTATATATGATCATTATGGTGACCAAGTGTGTATATATGATCATTAACGTGACCAAGTGTGTATATATAATCATTATCGTGACCAAGTGTGTACATATGATCATTATGGTGACCAATTGTGTATATATGATCATTATGGTGACCAAGTGTGTATATATGATCATTATGGTGACCAAGTGTGTATATATGATCATTATGGTGACCAAGTGTGTATATATGATCATTATGGTGACCAAGTGTGTATATATGATCATTATGGTGACCAAGTGTGTATATATGATCATTATGGTGACCAAGTGTGTAAATATGATCATTATAGTGACCAAGAGTGTATGTCTGATCATTATGGTGACCAAGTGTGTATATATGATCATTATCGTGACCAAGTGTGTATATATGATCATTATCGTGACAAAGTGTGTACATATGATCATTATGGTGACCAACAGTGTATATCTTATCATTATGGTGACTACGTGTGTATATATGATCATTATGGTGACCAAGTGTGTATATATGATCATTATCGTGACCAAGTGTGTATATATGATCATTATGGTGACCACGTGCGTATATATGATCCTTATGGTGACCAATTGTGTATATATGATCATTATGGTGACCAAGTGCGTATATATGATCATTATGGTGACCAATTGTGTATATATGATCATTATGGTGACCAATTGTGTATATATGATCATTATGGTGACTAAGTGTGTATATTTGATCATTATGGTGACTAAGTGTGTATATATGATCATTATGGTGACCAAGTGTGTATATATGATCATTATGGTGACCAAGTGTGTATATATGATCATTATGGTGACCAAGTGTGTATATATGATCATTATGGTGACCAAGTGTGTATATATGATCATTATGGTGACCAAGTGTGTATATATGATCATTATGGTGACCAAGTGTGTATATATGATAATTATGGTGACCAAGTGTGTATATATGATCATTATCGTGACCAAGTGTGTATATATATGATCATTACCGTGACCAAGTGTGTATATATGATCATTATCGTGACCAAGTGTGTACATATGATCATTATGGTGACCAAGTGTGTATATATGATCATTATCGTGACCAAGTGTGTATATATGATCATTATCGTGACCAAGTGTGTATATATGATCATTATCGTGACCAAGTGTGTATATATGATCATTATGGTGACCAAGTGTGTATATATGATCATTATGGTGACCAAGTGTGTATATATGATCATTATGGTGACCAAGTGTGTATATATGATAATTATGGTGACCAAGTGTGTATATATGATCATTATCGTGACCAAGTGTGTATATATGATCATTAACGTGACCAAGTGTGTATATATGATCATTATCGTGACCAAGTGTGTACATATGATCATTATGGTGACCAATTGTGTATATATGATCATTATGGTGACCAAGTGTGTATATATGATCATTATGGTGACCAAGTGTGTATATATGATCATAAGGGTGACCAAGTGTGTATATATGATCATTATGGTAACCAAGTGTGTATATATGATCATTATGGTGACCAAGTGTGTATATATGATCATTATAGTGACCAAGTGTGTATATATGATCCTTATGGTGACCAATTGTGTATATCTGATCATTATGGTGACTAAGTGTGTATATATGATCATTATGGTGACTACGTGTGTATATATGATCATTATGGTGACCAAGTGTGTATATATGATCATTATCGTGACCAAGTGTGTATATATGATCATTATGGTGACCATGTGCGTATATATGATTCTTATGGTGACCAATTGTGTATATATGATCATTATTGTGACCAAGTGTGTATATATGATCATTATCGTGACCAAGTGTGTATATATGATCATTATCGTGACCAAGTGTGTATATGTGATCATTATGGTGACCAAGTGTGTATATATGATCATTATGGTGACCAAGTGTGTATATATGATAATTATGGTGACCAAGTGTGTATATATGATCATTATCGTGACCAAGTGTGTATATATGATCATTAACGTGACCAAGTGTGTATATATGATAATTATGGTGACCAAGTGTGTACATATGATCATTATGGTGACCAATTGTGTATATATGATCATTATGGTGACCAAGTGTGTATATATGATCATTATGGTGACCAAGTGTATATATATGATCATTATGGTGACCAAGTGTGTATATATGATCATTATGGTGACTACGTGTGTATATATGATCATTATGGTGACCAAGTGTGTATATATGATCATTATCGTGACCAAGTGTGTATATATGATCATTATGGTGACCATGTGCGTATATATGATCCTTATGGTGACCATGTGCGTATATATGATCATTATGGTGACCAATTGTGTATATATGATCATTATGGTGACCAAGTGTGTATATATGATCATTATCGTGACCAAGTGTGTACATATGATCATTATGGTGACCAACAGTGTATATCTGATCATTATGGTGACTACGTGTGTATATATGATCATTATGATGACCAAGTGTGTATATATGATCATCATCGTGACCAAGTGTGTATATATGATCATTATGGTGACCACCTGCGTATATATGATCCTTATGGTGACAGTGGTAAGTATATAATCATTATGGTGACAACATTGAGTATAATAATCAGTATGGTGACAAGTGTGAGTTTTTTAATGATTATTATGGTGACAATGGTGAGTTTAATAATTGTCATTATTGAAACAACAGCGAGTTTAATGATGATTATTATGGTGACAACGATGAGTTTAAAAATGATCATTATGGCGACAGCGATGAGTTTAATAATGATCATTATGGCGACAGCGATGAGTTTAATAATGATCATTATGGCGACAGCGATGAGTTTAATAATGATTATTATGGCGACAGCGATAAGTTTAATAATGATCATTATGGTGACAACGATGAGTTTAATAATGATCATTATGGTGACAACGATGAGTTTAATAATGATCATTATTGTGATAACGGTGACTGGGTGACGGCGACAACGGTGTTAAGAAAGTTACTAATCTTCTCACCTGTAAAATGCCACCACGTCATAATCGTCCACTTTCTGCATGTCTATATCATGCCTAAAATCAAGCAGGTGTACGTTCATCTCCGACTTCCTCGGAACCACACCCGACCACAAGTGGAGATGTTCCGGCCACACTCTCAAGCCATGAAACGTCTCGTCAACCTTCACCCTCTGTTTCAGCATCGCCTCTGTGGTTCTGTCATCGCCCCCAGAGCTGACGTATAGAGCAGAAAGTCCTCGCTCAAGCTGTATACTATAAACCAAACTACGTATCTCTAGAGCCAGCTCAACGTACTGATTCACTACCATATTGGTCTCTAGATGCTCGGCCGCATCGTACACTTTCTTGATGTTCTGGGCAAGTAAAATGACGACAGGCAGAATCCCTGCTGTTAGTAACAGAATCAGCAGGAAATACCTCCCCAGCGTGGTACGAAAGTTAAGTGTTCTATCCCAGAATCCTTTCTTTAGATTTTCTCCGAATAATGCCGACGATGCTAGCGAACTTGCGCATGATTGTAAAAACGAAGAATGGGTTGAATCCATCCTTTTTGGAGAGCAAAAACGGTTATTACTGCGGCACCAAAATTGTTTTTATGGATGTCTTCTATCTCCGGGTTACTATCTGCATGTTTAATCACCCTTCAAGAGACTTATCCTGGCAGGTAGACCAACAGGATACATCCCAGATGCCTGTGCAACCTCTAGAAAAGGTATAATTAGAGCATCCATAACGGCTACAGCGGGTCCAACCTGTAGTCATAATCGAGTAAGAATAAGTGAAGTTACTGTTAAGAACTTTCGGCGCAGCCAGACTTGAAAAAAAAAAAAAACATGACTCTCTGGTCTGAAGGCGTTGCGAGTCCGACTCGTAATCCAACGTACCGCGATCGAAACCCACTGCGGGCTGCGTGGATTTTTATCGTGGTATGGGACGTCGCAGGTCGACCCAGCCTCAAATGGGTACCAGGATGGCTGTCCTGGGGAAGTAAAGACGGCCGGCGTAATGCTGACCACATTACCCACCGAGTGCCGATTGGTCTGTAAAAATATGGGTGCTCTTCCCATATGCCCGTTGCGCCTATAGGCGTGTAAAGGGATCTTTTTTGGGAATCGCCGTGGCCGAGCGGCTAGACGCTCGTCACTGATCGGAAGGTCATGGGTTCGCTCCCGGCAGGAGCCAAACTTTTTTCAAAAATGACCTTGGCTCCCAGGTCGGCCTTGAGTGGGTACCGGGTGCAGTCCCGGGAAAGTAAAGGTGGCCGGCGTGATGCTGACCACATCACCCATCTTGTGCCGATTGGTCTATAAAAATACAGGTCTAGCCCTATATGCCTGATGGCGTGGAAAAGGGTCCTTTACTTACTTATTTTTCTCTGGTCGGCCCAGCCTTAAATGGGTACCCAGTTAAGTCCTGAGAAGTAAAGGCTATCGGCGTGGTGCTGACCACATAACCCAATGAGTGCCGACTGTTCGATGAAATAAAGGTTTAGCCCTATATGCCTAATACACAAGAAAGCATGGGAAAGAGCCTGCAAATTTACTTGATACTCTTATCATGTTAAAAGCCCCACCCTGGCTTCTGCCGGGCGCCCTAAATGTAGCCAGGCCATGGATAAGGCTTAACGGCTGAACGAGGTTTTCGGGACCTCTCCGCGGGTGATCCTCATCCACATGGTGGCACTAGCTGTGGCTGAGTGTTTATCGCTTGTGTAAAGTCCTGGTGTTGGCTCTGTGGCTAAGTCGATGCGAACGCTTCGTAATGCCGGGATGGATCCCAGCTGTGGGCCATGCGCATTGCGTTGGTTTCGACAGTGGTATCAAGAAAGCCGACCGTCCAGTGCAAAGGCAAACTACCGGACGTAAATTTGCCTAGACAAACCACACAACAGTCAGGGGCTGTTGGGGTTGGTTTTGCAGCGTCCTGTAAAGGATACGCAACTAACCTTTAAAGTCCTGGTGGGATACAACTCACCTACCTACCTAGAACTGACGTTACAGCTGCACGTTTAGTTTGAGAGCTCTATACAACCCAACTACGGCACGTGTTTTTCTACAACATTCACGCGTTTGTCCAAACACAAGAATCATGATTTAAACTATATGCAGAAAAGAAGACACCTTTATAATTAAAAGCTTCAGTCGTGATCTGCCTCAATCAGTTCATGCAGACACTTTAAACACGGAATAATCAAACTTAAGTTCGCCAATCCATTTCACGCTTCCCACGTTATTAACGCCACCAGGTGGCGCAGTTTGGATCAATAATAAATTCTTTTTGCTCTCTATAAGGGAGTCGCCGTGGCGTTGGCGGCTAGACGCCCGCCTGCGGATCGGAAGGTCGTGGATTCAGGCTGAAATTTGTAACAATTTGAGGTTCTGGGTTTAATCCCCAGTAAGGGCTGGGATTTTGTTCACGTGGACTTGGGAATTCTAGTAATTCCCCCTGGTCTCTGGGTAGTAAGATGGACGCCCGTGTGCATTGTTGCGCACTTAAGGACCCCTTTGCAGTTGGAAATCAAAAAGAGTAACCTAAAGGCGCTGCCCAGGCTAAATTTGGAGTTAAAAATCTACCCAAAGTATTTCAGGATCCACGACGTTGCTACAGAGCCCTTGGACTGTGCTGAGGAGCTTCTTCGGACTCAGACTTGAGTTAGAAGAAGAACGGAGCACTACCCGTGTGCCATAATGTTGTTCAAACCTCAAACATGGCTTCGCAATGCTCACTTTATTGTTTCTCTTAGACGAGTTTCCTCCCCTTCAAACTCTTTTGTCTCTCTGTTATCGGCCATTCTCGCTTTATGCCTCAACCACTGCAGTCTTCTAACCCTCATGATGCCAGTAAATGATGAAATAAATTGTGAATTATGTTGCTTGCTTGAGTATCAATAGATTTATAAAAATATCAAACTAGTAGCAAACAACCAATGCTCGGCTTGACAACAAAGGAAGTCCATGACCCTTTACACATTTCCAGGCTATCCTCCGAATAACGGTCCCAAATTATCGAGGCGGAAAAAATACCCTTACAGGGCCTCAGTCACATGTAAATTGCGGACCTCTTTTCGACAACTACATCGCATACCCAGGAAAAGCTTCTGCTGAGTTAAAGTCACTGCCGAGAGTTTTCATGGCGCTGCTACGCGTGGGGCGGATGGGGCTAAACTAGATGGCTGGGACTCACGAGCAGCAGCTATCGCATCTCCTGCAGCTTCCTCCATTTTATTTGCTCGTGAGCCCCACCCATCAAGTTTAGTTTGGTATAGTCGCCGGAAAGAGGTCCACAATTTACATATGACTGAGACCCTGTTAGGGTATTTTTTTCGGCCTCGATAATTTTGACCCGTTATTCAGAGAATAGCACATTTCCATATTAACCAATCCAAAAAGAGATTTGCTGAAAATATTTATATCTAGTTCAACACAGACAAATGTTAATTAATTCAAACATTTAAATAATAAATTACTTAAGCAAAAAATGTATTAACTCATTTACATATTAATGTTGCAAGAAACCTACCACCACATGTTCCTTTTAAAGCTCCAGAAGTCCTGATGAAACTGGTAGATAAAGAAATCAAATACTCAAATACAATCACTCTTATGAACTCATTGCTAAAGACCATTGATTACTACTCCGAAGAATGGATACATGTTTATACTGATGGATCTGCATTCAAAGCTACAACTAAAGCAGGTTACGGAGTCTACATAGGTTATCCAGATGGATCTATTGAAGATATTTCTGATGCATGCGGGGAATTCTGCTTTAATTATGAGGTTAAAATTTTTGCACTAGAAACACTGGTATACCACCTTAAGACTGTAATGGTTGTTTACCTTTCAAAGGCCCAAAACACTGTCATCTTCACCGATTCAATGTCCGCTCTACAAGCTTTGGAAAGCAGTGAACATTGCAGAACTGACATAGCCAGAAAAATTATGGATGCTGATCAGCTCATTACCTCATACAACATCAGAATAGTGATGCAGTGGATTCCAGGTCACTCCGGCACACCAGGTAGTGACAGAGTTGATAGACTGGCAAAGAAAGGAGCAACACAAGAACAACCACTCACAGGGACAACCCTACAGACAGCAAAAAAACTTATAAGAGTTATAAACAAAGAGACTTGGCTGAACAGATGGGCTATGGCAGACACTGAAAGAGAGGTTTATAGACACATGGCTGGCCCTGATCCGATTGACAGCATCAACCATTTAACAAGGAGGGACCAGGTAACCATTTTCAGACTCAGAACACAACATACTCCACTCAGTGGACATCGAAGCACAATACAGCCACAACACTTCCCAGAGTGCCAGCTTTGTAATTACCCCTATGAAACTGTTGAACACCATCTCTTTGAGTGCGCAAAACAGCGAGACTAGAAGACCTCTACTTCCTCCAAGACCAGACAAGTGGAACACCTTGTACGAAGGAAAAGAACAGCTTGTGAAAACATTTAAATTCCACTACATGGCATTGGGCCAAAGGGCGAAAACCCATGCATCACTGGATCGATAACAACAACATTAACATATAAATTTAGTTGTAACTGGTTTACGCATAAATTCCTTTTTACAGTATTCACCATTAATTTGTAAGCACAGACTGACACATACAAATTAAGTAAAAGCTGATTTACATTTAAATTTATGTGTGCCTTATTCACATACAAATGTAATACAAATTGAAATACATATAGATTTCGTGTAAACTAATGCACACATACATTTAGTAATAACTGACTGTGAGTGAACCTTTTTCATGAATACACTTATCACTGCAATATCAACACATTCATTTATCAAACAAAACCTTTTTCACACATAAGCTTATTAATACTTTGCTCACACATTTTTTTCAATAGCTAATTCACACATAAGTTTATTAATACTTTACTCACACATTTTGTCAATAGCTTATTCACACATAAGCTTAAGTACTTTACTCACACAATTTTTTCAATAGCTAATTCACACATAAGCTTATTAGTACTTTACTCACACATTTTTTCAATAGCTTATTCACATATGCATTTATCAATTTCTTTTTTTTTCCCTGCACATTTAACTACCAATACCTTATTCACACACATTTATCAATACTTTATTTACACATACATTAATCAATACATTATTCACATATATATTTATCAATTCCTTATTTAAACATATAACTATCAATACCTTATTCACACACATTTATCATTATCTTATTCACAGACATTTATCAATACCTTATTCACACACAATTATCAATAACTTATTCACACACATTTTTCAATACCTTATTCACAGACAATTATCAATACCTTATTCACACACAATTATCAATACCTTATTCACACACATTTATCAATACCTTATTCACACACATTTATCAATACCTTATTCACACACATTTATCAATACCTTATTCACACATATTTATCAATACCTTATTCACACACATTTATCAATACTTTATTCACATATACATTTATCAATAACTTATTTACATATATTCATTTATTAATTCCTTATTCACATATACAACTATC